ATATTCTGTTTTATCGTTAATGTCCTATAACATAATCTTCCTGTGCCAGAATAATGCACTTGAACGCATCAAAGCTTTGTGATTGGCGTGACCCCATGTGTCGGGCCGTGGCTGGTGGGCAGTGGGTACTAGTTAGCTGATGTTGTCCGTGTCAACAGGAGTGACAGTCCGCACACACACAAGACCGCAATTATGGCAGAAGCAAAAAAGCCCAAAATATATCATTTTCACTCCGAGTGGGAGGATGATTCTTTTTTTGTTTATTCCAATTCAAAGTCCATCTGTCTCATCTGCAATGCGAGCGTGGCTTTATCGAAGAAGGGTAATTTAGAGCGGTATTTCAAAACGGTGCACACACGCTACGAGACAGAATTCCCTCCTAATTCTGCCCTACGCTCTTCTGTTCGTTGCGTGCATATGTAATAGAGTTAAACATGTGAATACATCATTATAAGTTTGTGAATGTTTAATTAATAATAAGTTGTGAATTTTAAGAGATGAGAGTTTTGTTTAAACATGGGAACACCTTCCCGTTGCACATCTTTGTTTACTTCCGGTATGTATTTTCCACCCGCCGCGGACTGGCCATCTGTAGAATCTGGAGATTGATTCGTCACCGCCCTTCATTTTTTAAATGGCATCATTGAAGTTGCACCGACAGAGGTCCGCCGTTTCCCAGTTGACAGTTTGCTAGCACCCCCCCCCGTTGACAATTCACTAACCCCCCCCCCCCCCCCCGTTGACAATTCACTAGCTTCAAATGACTTGCTTTATATTGAATAACTTTTTAAACAACTTGCTCCGTGTGTCCGCTTCAACCACCCTGGACCGATAGTACAGTCAGGAGTATACAGTACAGTCGTGAGTTCCTGCTGGACAAGGACATAACAACAAACCACACACTAGACGCTACACTGGCAGAGGTACTCAGCGGCCTTGGAATACGCTCGCCCTCGTCCTCGAGTGCTACCCCGAAGCTGGACAGGAGACGCCGCAGGCGGTGTGAGAGGAAGCAGAAGAGGGGTAAGCGCGGAGGCATCCGGGCTAGGCTAGCAGCTAGCCCATACAGGCCCGCTATTCGGAGCATTCTCATGGCTAATGTACGCTCACTGGATAATAAAATGGATAACAACGACCCAGAGTGAGGTGAGAGAGTGCTGTGTGTACGTTTTCACGGAAACATGGCTAAATGACAAAATCCCAGACTCTGCCATTCAGCTCGGCTAACATGCTACTGCTCAGACAGAGCCACGGTTAGCGGGGGGAAGACCCGCGGTGGAGGGGTTATTGTTTACATCAGTGATGCTTGGTGTAGGGACGCTGTGGTTGTCTACAAACACTGTTCACCGCTGGAGTTTATGGTCGTGAAGTGCAGGCCTTTCCATCTCCCAAGCGCCATCCTTCTAGCAGCTGTTTACATCCCCCCCAGCTCCAACAACAAGGACAGAGAGGAGGCACTCGGTGAGCTGTATCATGTGATCTGTAACCAGCAGACAACACAGCCAGACAGCCTTCTCATCGTCGCTGGGGACTTCAACCATGCAAACCTGAAAACTTTCATTCCAAACATATATCAACATGTTGATTTCCCAACAAGAGAAAACAATACTGGAGAGAGGTCCACGGGCTGCTGAGGGCCTGCTGCCTTCAGAGGGGACAATCCAGCTGGTCTCAGAGCAGCCTGGGCCGACCTATCCCGTGGCATCCGGAAAGTGAAACAACAGTACACCCGGAAGATTACAGCTCACTTCAGTGACAGCAGAGACACACGGAGCCTGTGGCAGGGTATTAGAACCATCACGGACCACGAACCACCACCACAGACCTGTGACAGTGACACCTCTTTGCTGAACAACCTCAACGGCTTCTTCGTACGCTTCGAAACACAGAACAGCACACCTGCGCAGAAAACAACGCCTCCACCCAACGACCAGGCTATCTGTCTGTCCCCAGGCAGTGTGAGGAGCACACTGTTAAGGATTAACACCCGGAAAGCTTCTGGGCCTGACAACATTCCTGGTCATGTGCTAAAGGACTGAGCTCACAGATGTCCTCACAGACATCTTCAACATCTCCCTGAGCCAGGCTGATGTTCCCTCGTGCTTCAATGTAACCACCATCATACCTGTATCGAAGAAGACATCACCTTCCTGCTTCAATGACTACCGCCCCGTAGCGCTGACTTCCACCATCAAGAAGTGCTTTGAGCGGCTAGTCATGAAGCAAATAAAATAACTATAGTAACCACGCAGTGTAGGCATGTTTTCCTACTGGAACCACTCCGGCCATTGTGGTCCTTGACGGCTCTATAATCACTCTCACGTTTTTTTTGTTTATCTCTAAACTGCTGGAAAGTCCTCGTGAAGCCGTGTGCTGCCAACAGTGTAGAGCAGGGCTATTCAATTACAAATTCAGTGAATACGAAAAGAACTGTCAAACCCTTCAGTGCACAAACCCATAACAAGGGATAAGGGTAACTAACATATGAATGAATACTACACTACACGTCTACTATAGTAAACTAGGTGCTTACTATCACCTCATTTGGGATTTGTCATCGCTGACTTTCTCAATGGGAGAAGTGACATTTTTTGTTTTGAACAAGAGCAGTGATTTTTGGCTCATAGGATGTCAATGCAATCCTAAGACATTGGTAAAGAGTGCTGTCAGTCAGGGAGCAGTGAGTGCTACTTTTTATTGAGTTCATGTGTAGGGCTGCACGATTTGGGGAAATAATCTAATTGCGATTTTTCTGACAGATATTGCGATTTTATTTGCGATATTTGTTTTTAAGCGACCCAACGGAAGTTTATTGTAAAATGCGGCCATATCTCCGGCTAGCAAGGTCGCATCAACGTGCTCCCGTCTCTAGCACCCCCGCAGCTCGAGCTACGAGTGAAAGAACTAAACTTACATGAAACTTCCGTTGGGTTGCTTTAAAGTCAAGCTTCAGTTTAAGATTCACCCTGTAATAGAAACATGTGATGGAGCATTACTAACCTGACTCAGATGCTTTGTTTCACCAAACCATCTAGGAAAGCTCCATTGGAAGCCATTTGGAAAAGTATTTCAAAAATACTTGGCAGGTGATTGGATCAATCTGTCTATCACCTTCTATCATGGGCCACTTCTGATTGGTTAACAATGGCTGGTACATGTGGAGCACAGCACTTCTGATTGGTGTGGATGACTGACACACAAGAAGAAAAAAAAAAAAAAATAGATTTGATAATCGCATCATTTAAAATCGCGATTTCGATTTAAAATCGATTAATCGTTCAGCCCTATTCATGTGTGAAAAGCTTGATTCACATGTGTATGTTGATCCAAACATACTGAGCACACAGATCGCTACTTTCTGAACGTTAGGGAACTGCTGTTTGTTGACGTCACTCCAAAACTTCCAGACCTACTGGTACACTTTCTCGTTTTGCGTTGCGCCGTCGAGCTCCCGCTGTGTTTTTTCATCCGCAACGAGATGGAGGAACGTCTGTACCTCGTACCTTGTTGAAAAATGTTGTTTATGCGACGCTTGGAGACTGTCTCGCGAAATAATTGTGACGATTCTCTCTGACCAATCAGCGGTCTGCAGTGTTTTACGTCACTAGCTAAGCATATTTTCAGCTCGCTTGGAACCTCGATTGAAGTGGTTCTAAAAATGTACCTGTGAGCCGGTACTTCCCTGTAGTGGAAATGCGCCTATAGATAACAAGAAAACAAAGGAGATTGTTGTCGACTTCAGGAGAAACGACACCCAGCACCCTCACCCACTGACAATCGGTGGTACTGCTGTGGAGCAGGTGAGCTGCACCAAATTCCTGGGGGGGCACATCACCGAGGACCTCTCCTGGAGTAACAACACCACGACAATGACCAAGAAAGCCCAGCAGCGCCTCTACTTCGTCCGCAAACTGAAGAGAGCAGGAGCCCCCCCCCCCCCGTCATGCTCTCCTTCTACCGAGGCGCCATCGAGAGCATCCTCAGCAGCTGCATCACGGTGTGGTTCGGAAGCTGCACAGCATCGAACGGCAAGACCCTGCAGCGCATTGTGAACACTGCTGAGAAGATCATCGGTGCCTCACTCCCATCACTCCTGGACATTTACAACACCCGCCTCACCCGCAGAGCACTCAGCATTGCTGGTGACCCCACCCATCCCTCCACCTGCCTCTTCACCCTCCTGCCTTCAGGGAGGAGGTTCCGCAGCCTGAAGTCGAGCACCACCCGACTAAAGAACAGTTTTTTCCACCAGGCTGTCAGGGGGCTGAACTCCCTCCCCTCCCTCCCCCCTCTCCCCCCTGCCCCCACTGGACTTTAACACCCCCACACATTCAGACACTAAAATCCAGCACCAGACACTTTTTATGCTGCGATGGACAATCTGGCAATAATGCACATTCTATGGAAAATCTGCACATTCTATGTACAATTTTGCACTAATGTACATTCTCAAATATTGAAGTGACTGTTATTTTGTATATATTGATTGTTGTGTTTTTATTTAGGTCTTAATGTGTGCACATGTACAAATATGTCTTTGATTCTGTGTATATATATATATATACATATTTGCACACATATTTTTATATACATTTGTTTTATATTCGGGATTGTGGGAAACAGTATTTCGATCTCTCTGTCTGTACACACAAACTGGAAGATTGACAATAAAGTTGACTTTGACTCTTGACTTTGAGTTATCATCTAGGAGTCATTTGGTCAAATTTGAACTTCTCAAATACTTTTGTTTTACAGGTTTTAGATTATAAACCAATGGCCTTTCCAGTGACATTGTCAAGCCAAACTGAGAAATCTCTTAATCAAATCAAAACTGGTTGATACTGAAGTTGTGAAGTCAATAGAACCAAGTTAGACCATTTCATGTTCGTGGAAAGGGTCCAATCCGTTTTTTTTACATTTTGTATAACTGACCTGCTCCAGACTTTGCTGTTATGGTCTTAGTTTTGAAGCTAAATCCTGTTTATTATTTTTCCTTGCAGTTGTCTCAGGCCTCCCTGCGAGGTGAGGAGGCGGCGGTGTGAACCCGGCTTCTCCTTCCGCGAGGAAGTCTGTCGCTGCGTACCGTCCCACTGGAGGCGACTGGACTGACGGCTGCTAACATGCTAACCAGATGCTAATGAGCATATCACAGACTCAACAAATAGAATGAATCACCAATCCTGCTGCTGGTCATGAGTATCCCCACCAGCTGTGATGGCAGCTAAGTGTGTGGACCCTGATGAAGGTGGGAAACGTCAGAGAGCAGATCTGGGGGGCTCTAGGGATTTGATGCACTGCCTAAACTTATGAGGACGTTTTAAAGGAAGAGCGGCTGAGCGGGCCAGAGAAGGAAGGACTGAAACACTCGACACTTAAAATACTGTTTAAATATTTTTATATATATTTGGAGGTTTTCTATTAATGATGTCTCAATATTTTTGCGTCAAATATTGATTATATAATTTATTAATGTTATTTTTCAGCCTTTGTTTATTGCAATTTCAATCTTTTTCCATGAAAATACACTGTGATCCATATTTTTGTATCATGTACAGTAAATATATATAAATGTGTAAAATAAAGTACTGTTACATACTGTAAACCAAGTTTGTTCTGGTGCATATTAAAATGTGGTTGTTCTGTTATAAATCCACCTTGGTCTCAGAAAAAAATGTAAAACTGTAAATCGATGAATTGTAAAGTTTTGTAAGGAAGAAATACTACGGTCAAATGTAAAGTGTGCCTTACTTATATAGTAAAGACATGTTGGACTTTTAGAAACACCCAGGTTCTCCTTCTATTGATACAACGTACTCATATATTTAAACTGACATCGGAAGAGTTTTATACCTAAGAGATAAAAGAGGAAAATATTAAAGAGCACTCAATTGAGAGAAGCTTGCTGTTTATGTGTCTGTTTGATATATAAGGGTTTAATTCAATTCATAATCTCACATACAGAATGCATTTAATATGTTAAATATGCTGTGGTTTATAAATGTAAAATATATAAAAGGGCTGTTCTTTGAATGGAACAAGTATTTCTCAAAGATTTAATATAAATAATACTTGACAGTTTATTTTTAAACATCACTGCAGCATTCCCACATTCAGAGGATGCTCGAGTTCAAACTTGTAGGCCTCAAAGACATGTTATGTTATTGTTTCCTCCTCATTTCCTTCCTGGACATTCTCCAGGAATGAGGTGTCCTCCCTGCGGCTGCACAGCGGCTGAGGACAGATGAAGATTAACGTCATGCAAATATGAAAACATCCATCAGCTTATAAATTAAACTAAGATGTTCTTCATCTTCAGATTTGTTAACCACACTGATCATTTTGTGTTTCTGGGGGTTATTGGGATGGGATACGTTACCTGTTCATATATAATATATATATTATTGGATCAGAAAGATCTGTTCTGAACCATAACCCCCAAAAAACAGACCGAGGCTGCGCTATTGCACAACTACAGCAGCATAATGAAGACATATGTTAAAGCAGCAGTTATCAATATTTTACACCATGAAACAGTTCAGCAGTTTTCTACACTTGCAAAGCTGTTTGGGTTCATAGGATTTTGCCCATCCATATGTCTTGTTGACTTGATAAAGGTTTAGGGCCGTGTCCTCTGTGGAGTCCTGTCGGGGGGAGTGCAATAATATCGGGTACCGGAGTCATTTCTACAAGCCATCCAGTCTTTGTATAACCAAGAGGAAAGCTTGGTCCATTTAGTTGGCACGTGTTCATGTCAAACATGTTTTAGGTTGATTTAGACTCTGTGAGCATTGTCTCTTGTCCGATAGTGATGTCATTAACTGGATCTGCAGCCAGGGGGGGAGAATAGTGACCGGCCTCAGATTTGAGTCTCTCGCAGTAGGGATGAGAGCATCTCCAAGTCTGAAGCCATAGTTCTCTACTGGAGGAAATAGTGGATAATTGAGTTGCTTGGGAGTAATTTACTGCCCCAACAAGAGGGTTCAATATTGTGTTCATGATTAGATGAAGTGTGAGATGGACAGCAGCTACTATAATGTTGTGTTAAAGAGGATACTGGGTCGGATGGACATTTTCTTTTTTCAACAGCCCATTTCCATTTGGGAGAATGAGATCACACAAGCAGCCGCACTCAGTTTCTTATGTAGGGTGTCTGGGATCAGCCTTAGAGACAGGGTGAGGAGCTCAGGCAGCTCGGAGTAGAGCTGCTGCCCCTTCTCTTGTGAATTGGCCCGCTGAGAGGGTCAGGTTACCTCCTGGGCCCTCCCATTAGAGTTTCTTCCTGATACGCCCAACTGGTCAATTCCCCGGGGGAACACAAAGAACACACTGGAGAAATTATCTGGTCTGGCCTGGAACACCTCAGGTTCCCCAGATAGACCTGGAAACCTTTGCCAGGGATACGGACATCTGGAATACTCTGCTCAGACTGCTGCTCTCATGACCCGCTCTGGGATGTGATGGAGAGATGGATGGCTGGATTGATGGATGGATGTAACGTGTCTGTGGACTGTTATTGCTGCAGTTTGTTGAAGCCAGTATAATGATGGAGGGCACAAAGCCTTTACTGTAGCTTGCTTTTTCCATCAAAGATCTGTGTCTGCACCGGGATTGGAAGAGAATGAAGTTCAGGGGTGGCCTGGGGTCATGTGCTACAGTTAGTGCTCTGCGTGTGATGGCAGTATCAGGGAAGATGTGCAGAGTGGCAGTAGATAGTAATGGTTTTAGCAGCGTTGTGTGTTCTTTTTAGGATTTGGTTCTGTTGGTGACATTGAGCATGGATGGATGGATGACGGGTGGGTGGGTGGGTGAGTAGAATGACTATGTGTAATGTAAAAGGGAGTGCTCTTGGTAACAACAGAGATACTGTTCCTCCTCTGCTTTGTAATATGTACATGTTAGCAACAAGACTCCAACTGAACTCTAATTCTGCTTCGTGGCTGGATATGAAAATAAGCAACTGTTTACCAACCTGCTCTCAAACGTTATGAGGTGATCACATGGCAATGTTTTTCTTTAAATATTAAACCATATGTGTCTGGGTTAAACCAAATATGCTGTTTCAGTACATTTTCAAGAAGGGATCATTTTTAATAATATACCCAACACACTGCACTCTATTTCTGTCTCTCTCTCCCGCACACACACACAGCGATGGACTTCTCTCAGTCCAGTGTGTCAATCATTCAGCTTCAGGTTTTTGTGTGTCTGTGTGAAAGTATTCTTGCCCTGAGTGCAGCAGAGGGGAGGTTGTGTGTGTGTGTGTGTGGGTGTGTGTGGTGTGTGTGTGTGTGGTGTGTGTGTGTGTGTGTGTGTGTGTGTGGTGTGTGTGTGTGTGTGTGTGTGTATACACAGGACATGCTGCTCCAGAGGTTGATATACTTTATAATTCACTCCAGATGTAGAATGTTAGCCGCTGAACCAACATCACTTCTCTGGTCGATAATGTGTGTGTGTGTGTGTGTGTGTGTGGTGGTGTGTGGTGGTGTGTGTGTGGGTGTGGTGTGTGTGTGTGTGTGTGTGTGTGTGTGCGCGCGTGTGTGTGTGTGTGTGTGTGTGTGTGTGTGTGTGTGTGTGTGTGTGTGTGTGTATTTGAATGTGTGTGTCTTTGCGCTTAATGTTAATGTCTCACCAGCAGTCAGACATCAAAATAAACTAAGTTTCAAGTTTCTCACAGACACAGACAGACACACACACACACTTGTATTATCTTGCATAAGTTTCAAATTGAAAAATCGTTTTTAATATAAGAATTATAATAACATTTCCAAGTGACTACAAGTTATTTTTGGTAAAGGAAATATAAATTGGATATAAATTAGATTACGGGTGAGCTTCAAATGTCAGAGTAGAACAAAACTGTTCTCCATCAGGCATGTCAGAGTGCACTGTTATATAAAGTAAGGGGTCCATAGAGGGATCCACACGAATACACACAGACTCTGCTACATGTTACCCAGCATCCTGCTGTAGCATGTGGCCCGAGGCGAGAAAATGTAACCTTAAACTGGAAGGTCAGTGGATCAAAACGAACAAATTGTGAACAAGTGTCCACGTTCCTTTGAGGCACGTTAAACTTGAATACATACTTGATATAACAGTATAGTTGTAACTGCAGTGCTGATCTAAAAACAGGTAGCAAGCATTACCTTTTAACATTATCATTTCAGCAGAAAGCAGTTACAACATCTGTTTGTTATTATTCCCATTCATTATAAAGTTTAATATCAAGTTTGCATATAGGATTATTAGATCCAAGTGTAATTCAATATACTGCATTGTACTTCAAATGCTCAGCCTCCAAATGGGCAATACAAATGTAAAGATGAAGGTCAGAAACGTAATCAAAGTCTGTGTCCCATCCCCATGTTGAGATTCACAATTACTTTTTTGCCCAGATGATTTATTCTGCCATTCAAATACAATGGAGATTAATTCATTGTTGTTTATGCTCCTTAGAGCATTAATAATGTTGCAATCTTTGAGCCACAAGAGCAACAAATTCAATTCCATTCCCATCATATTGAACTCAAACTCAAAAGAATGTTTAGCTTCACCCATTCACACACATTCCTTCAGAGGCTGCCATACAAGGTGGAGTTGCTAAAGGAAACTAACATTCACATTGACGATCAGGACCAATCAAGTTTAAGTATCTCGCCCAAGGACACATAACGTTTTGGCTGCAGGGCCTGGGGATGGAACCCTGGACCGTCCATTTGGAGGAAGTCCGTCAACCTCCAGAGCCCCAGCTACAAAAGAGAGGGATACAGACAGAACCATTGTGTTTTGAAAGAACCCTGTCTCATTTGAGATGGTCAATCTTAACTATAGACAGAGATTTAGACAAATAGAATTCAGTCTTTAGTAAAGCAGAGTTTAATATGCTCATAAACAGTTAACAGCCGTCTGTAAAGCTACACGCTACAGACGGCTGGCTGGAATCTGATGTTGCAAGGTCAGGAGCGCCTTGTGAGAAATAAAAAACACACTGCGGCCTTTAATCCGATCCAAAAGGGAAACCCACTCTGACAGAGACTCTCTGTTGGAGTTTACACAGCCTGCTCAATGTTTTTTTAATTTAAAAAGTGATAAGGTGATCAATCATTAACATGAACAATGTTCAAATAGGACAACCTTTTACGTTTTACACAACTGGTGTTTCATATCAGGATCTTCTGCTGTGAGGAAACAAATGTTGTCCAACGTTCCTCTGGTCCCTGAAGGACGTTATCGATCATACATTCATCAAGAAATAGCCAAGTATCTGTAGTGTCTGAGTAAAGTGTCCACTTCTTGTCAACATTTTGAAGATTTAAAACATATGAGCAGTGATTTATTACTGCAGTGCAAATTAGATGGACTGCATGTACGTACAGTATGAAGCTTTATTCTAGTCTTTAGAACACAAACCAGCATTTGTGTTTCAAACACACGTTGGAAACCGTGGCTGCGAGGTCGTGCAGTTGTCTTTTGATCAGAAGGTTGCGGGTTCGATCCCAGTCCTTGCAGTCGATGTCGATGTATCCTGGGGCGAGACACTTGGCATTCCCTGCCGGCATGTGTGAGTGTGTGTGAGTGTTAGCTTACTTTAACAAATGGCACATCGCTCTGTATGGATGAGGTGTGAATGGGTGAATGATGACTCGTAAATAGTGGATAAAGCGCTATATTTGCCATTAAATGCATCATGTCATTTTTACCATATTTACCATACTGCTGGCAGAAGCTACTTTAGGCAAGGCAAGTTTATTTATATTGCACAGGCATTCAAAGTGCTTTACAAAAATGAGAAACATTAAGAGCAAGAAATAGTGCAGTGGAAACACATTAGAAAATGGCATTTAAAAACAGTCATTAAAAAGCAAAGAGTAAAATAAA